CCTCATCCCTCCCACCTTCTTTTGGCCTCCTTGTAAACCTGAACCGCCAGGTACCTCAATTTTCTTCATGGCCAAGACTGTTGTTAATTGTTAAATGGGTGGAGGAAATGGGTGAGCCACTGCTTGCTCTGCACGTTGTCCTCCGGGTGCTGGGTCTTCAGGTAGTACAGCAGCCGCATGGCTTTGACCCGCAGAAGTAACTGGGCCATTCCCAGGCTACCCCCCAAGATGTGTCCTCCGAAGAAGCTGGTCAGGAAGACGAGATGCCCGCTGTGCTTGTAGATGGGGAAGGTGATGCTGCTCAGGTCAAGTGTTTTGTACACCTGCCAGGCATGCAGGAGCGGGTTGGGGGGCACACAGAGCGGCTGGTAACTCAGGGACACCTGCTGGTACTGGATCTGGCTTCGTCTCCCCTTGGGACCTGAAGGGCCTGCATCACACTGCCCAATCTACCGACTTCGGCGAAGATGTCTGGTTCCGGCTATAAGTCGCTTTTGGAGACCACCAAAATGAAGGCGAAATTGACCTTGGAGCTCCTGGAGAAGCGGTAGGAGTCGGTGGTGGTGAAATGGCCCTGCATGAAGCCCACTCCGCCTTGGCCAGGCTCCCCCCGGGGCGCACGGCTCCTCCAGATCTTCATCCTCAGGCAGGTAAAGGGAGCCGGAGCCCAGCGCTGCCGGCAGCATCATGGGCGCCAGAGGAAGATGAGGGGTGCCCACCACCACCCCAGCCATTGGAAGGCGCGGGACAGTGGCCCCTTCAGGCGGTCGGCGTGGCAGTCGCGTGCAGACGGCTACGGATTCGGGGTTTCGCCCCAGCAAGGGTGCGTCCTTCCAACCCATGCCGGGTGGCTGCGGCCCCTTCTCTAGCTACGGTCGCCGCTCCGAGGGCTGCCCTGACTCCCAGCCCGGCCTCGCTTCGCTCCCTGGTCCCACACTGGGACCTCCACCGACCCGGACCCAGACTTTGAGCTCCGCTGCCGCGGCCCGGCTCCGGCTTCCCCTCCGACTCTGACCGACTCCGCTCAGGCTCCCGCGACTCCGGCTAATCGCCCAGTCCCTCTTCCTGGGCGCCTACTCCAGCTCCCGCTTCGCCCCGGGCTCGGGTCCGGCTGCCCCACGACCTTAGAGGAACAGAAACTCATTTCCAGGAAGCACAGGCGGGACAGCAGGTGAAAAGGCCGCTGCGGGGAGCAGATCTCCGCCCCACCCGACGGTTTCCTGGAGACATTCCAGGGAGTCTGAGCTCTGGCCGCACGCCCGGACGCAGAGGCGGCGTTGGGAGCACATGGCTGGCCCGGATGCCCAGCGAATCTGAAATGTGTTTGAGGCGTGCCTGGACTCTCAGGGGTTCAGCAAACACAAGGAATGCTTCTTCAAGGCCATCAGATGCGTGCCTATCCTACGGGACTTGTAATTTATTGGGAGAATTTGGGTGTTTCTCTCACACACGAATGCCATAGATATTCCACATGTCCTGAGTGACAGATATTACCTTACTTGGGGTTCACCCAGTAGCAGTTTCAGGTAAGACTTTTGTGAACCTGATACACTTAACTTAGTTATTGTTTTTATTTTCTATCCATAAATGTAACATGTGCATACATCTACTTGTGAAAGAAGTATAGAATGAAAAGTGGAAAAAAAATCTAAACCTCTTACCCATTCCTCTTAAAGGAAATGTTAAAAAGTGGGTCTACATCCTTACAAACCCTTTCTATGCAAGACATGCATATCAAAGATATAGCAAATATACTTTTTTCATAAATATTATTGTACTATTCATGTTATGCAGATTATATTTTTCATCTACAGTGGCAGAGGATTTGAACATGTCAGTGCAAATAAATTTATCTTATTTTTTAACTGCTCTATACTTTTCCAATGTATAGATGAAACATAATTTCATCAGAATCTTATTGATGGACTCATAGATTGTTTAGTCATTTGCTTTTATAAATAGTGCTTGGTGAATTAATGTCTTTTATTTAACCTATACACAGGAACCGTATCTGTGAGATAATTTTTCAGAGTGGATTCACTAGGCCAAAGGATAGGTTCTTTTAAATTTTTAGAGCTATTGAGAGATTAAAATCCAAAGAAGTTGTATTAATTTATACCCTCATAAGCAATATATGAATTTGCCATAGGCTATCCCACAGTGTCAGCAAAGTGTTTGGTTTGTGCCACTGGTATCTTACTTTGGTTTAATTTTGAATGCATTGCTTAGCATCCTTATCTTTCCTTTTTTTTTTTTTTTTTTTTTAGACGGAGTCTCACTGTGTCGCCCAGGCTGGAGTGCAGTGCAGTGGCACAATCTCGGCTCACTGCAAGCTCCGCCTGCTGGGTTCACACCGTTCTCCTTCCTCAGCCTCCCTAGTAGCTGGGACTACAGGCGCCTGCTGCCATGCCTGGCTAATTTTTTGTATTTTTAGTAGACACGGGGTTTCACCGTGTTAGCCAGGTTGGTCTTGATCTCCTGACCTTGTGATCCACCCACCTCTGCCTCCCAAAGTGCTGGGATTACAGGTGTGAGCCACCATGCCTGGCCCGTCTTTCCTTTTTGAGTGAACTTTCATATCTTGTGTGTGCCTATTCCATTCAGAAGTTTTCCCTTTGGATTGCTGAGATTTTCTTCTTGTTTTGTAGGAACCTTTATAGTTTTTAAAAACGACCACCTTTCTTGTGATCAGAGTTACAAGCATCTCCCCATTTTGCTTATTGCCATGGCTTACTTTTGTAGTTCAATTAACAAATACTTTTATGAGTTCCAAGTTTTTTGTTATAATACATTTTTCTTTTTTTGTGATTATAAAAAAATTACTAGAAAATTTAAACCAAAGTTGTGGCCAGTAGAAATGATCATTACTGGCTAGGTGTGGTGGCTCATTCCTGTAATCTCAGCATTTTGAGAGGCCAAGGCAGGAGGATTACTTGAGGCCAGGAGTTTGACACCAGGCTGGGCAACATAATGAGATCCCATCCTTAAAAAAAAATTAGTAGGCTGGGCTCAGTGGCTCACACCTGTAATCCCAGCTCTTTGGGAGGCTGAGGCGGGTGGATCACCTGAGGTCAGGAGTTCGAGACCAGCCTGACCAACATGAGGAAACCCCATCTCTACTAAAAATACAAAAATTAGCTGGGCGTGGTGGTGCATGCCTGTAATCCCAGGTACTCGGGAGGCTGAGGCAGGAGAATCATTGGAACCCGGGAGGCGGAGGTTGCAGTGAGCTGAGATTGCGCCATTGCACTCAAGCCTGGGTGGCCGAGCAAGACTCTACCTCAAAAGAAAAAAAAAAAAAAATTAAACATTAGCCAGGTATGATGGTGCACACCTGTGGTCCTGTACGCAGGGGGCTGAGGTGGGAGGATTACGTGAGCTCAAGAGGTATAGGCTGCCGTAAGCTATGATTGTGCCACTGCACTCCAGCCTAGGTGACAGAGTAAGACCTTCTCTCACACACACACACACACAAAAAGGAAATAAATAAAAGAAAGCAAGCAGAAATTATCATTATGGTCTTGGCTGGATACAACTACAATCTTCAAGTGTGTTTTGTAGCTTTGTATTCCCTATTTGAGTTTTTCATCTTGCATAGCTGTAATATATTGAAAAGTAGTTCTAACTGGGCATCTTTCCATAGTGATATCCGCCTTCTATGAAGCTCTGTGCTTTTATTCCATAAATTATAAATAAATATGTTATTGGCCATTACAATGGATGAGACGAAACTTTGAAATTTTTTTTCAATAAGGAAGCTCAAAGTTTGATAAGAAAACAACTGCAAAAATATAACAAAACATCTGTGGAAGTAGCACAGCATCCTGGCTCATAAAATCAGGATCAGAAACCATCAGTCTCCTTCCGGTTTCTGTCCCCTTTCTTATCTGTAAAAACCAAATATTTAGGTCAGGCACAGTGGCTCATGGCTCTAGCCCCAGCACTTTAGGAGACCCAAATGGGTGGATTGCTTGAGGCTAGGATTTCAAGACCAGCCTGGACAATGGGGCAAAACCCTGTCTCTACAAACAATACAAAAAATTAGCTGGGAATTTTTTGTACAGTGTCATATACATGTACCTGTCATGTCATGTACATGTCATGTCATGTACATGTAGTTCCAGCTACTTGGGAGACTGAGGTGGGAGGATCACCCGAGCCCAGGAGGTTGAGGCTACAGTGAGCCAAGATCGCACCACTGCACTCCAGCCTGGGTGACAGAGCGATACCCTGTCTCAAAAACAACAACAACAACAACAACAATGACAAAACAACCCCAAACATTTAGAAGAATTTAAGATGAGGGAAAGGAGAGCCACTCACCCAGTTCTCCAGTGACCTAGTGTCCCTAACTTGTAGAGCAGCTTTACTTCCAGTCTTGTGGCTACTTTGCAGTCAGTTCTTTGATTGGAGAAGTGCCTTGCACTTTATACCAGACTTTCCTTATGAGCAGATGGTTACAGGTTAGTCTATAAGACATGGTGATCACGTCACTCCTCTGTTCACATCCCCGTGATGACGCCACATTTCACTCAGAGCTGAAGTCAAAGTCCTTACAATTATATGCATGTGTGCTACAACGACTCACACAAAGATGGACAGCCATAGGCCCGGGTGAAAGCTCAGAAAGTCTGGTTTCAAACAGGAAGATGGGAGCAATGGATACTGTGACAACTGACAGTCTCTGCCAGACATTAAAATGCTATGAAGCCACTATTATTAAAATTATGGGCCAGGCACTGCAGCTGACACCTGTAATCCCAGCACTTCGGAAGGCCAAGGCAAGCAGATCACTTGAGGTCAGGAGTTCGAGACCAGCCTGGCCTACATGGCAAAACGCCATCTCCACTAAAAATACAAAAATTAGCCAGACATGGTGGTGCACGCCTGTAGTCCCAGTACTTGGGAGGCTGAGGCAGGAGAATCACTTGAACCCATGAGGCGGAGGTTGCAGTGAGCCAAGATCGCACCACTCTACTACAGCCTGGGCAACAGAGCGAGACTCTATCTCAAAAATAAAATAAAATTCTGCTGTGTTATTTTTCAAAATAATGAAAGAAAATTCAAGAAAAACCTCTGAGGTAGTAAGACATGAATAGACCAAGGATAATTGAAAAACATTTATCTTATGCTAACTTTTCTCATATACCTGGGTGCATATTCATGGAAGGAGTGTAAATTGACACATTTCTGGTGAACAACTGAGAAAAATATATTAAAATTACAAATTGAAGATGGTTTTGAACATAAGAGTATTTTGTACTTATATTAAGGGTGAGAATGTTTCTTGATGTGTGCTTCGAGGCTGAAGTAGCTCTCCTAGTTTAATGCTGCTGGCCTCTCTTCTCCTCCTCATTTGCTTTTCCCTAAGAAAGGAGGGGTGACTCCTCTAATTGTTAAATGTGTAAAGAATAAGCGGGGAAGGCCGCATTCTGCCCATCATCTTCCTAAAACCTGCATGGGGAGATTTGTGTTTGAAGAACATTGCCTATGATTAAATGGAAAGAGATCCAGAATTGGGAAACTGTCTTATCTTCAAATGTAAGCCACATGCTTCAACATCAGCTGTCATCAGTAATGAAGGTGACATTTTAAACACCTGTCTGCTTCTTTTGTCTTACTTCCTAATTGGCTTAGAATTTGGGTGAGGATGAGGAGTGTCATTTATTGCTGTAAGATCCAAACACACATCTACGGATTTATCCTACAGACATACTTATATATGTGTGACGTTACATGTGTACAAGGTTAATCATTGTAGCATTGTTTATAATACCAAAAGACTGAGAGCAATCTAAATGTCCATATAGAGGATTATTTAAATAAGACACTGTTGCACAATGGACTACTATGCATCCAAAAAAAAAATAGTAAGCTCCAAGATATATTAAAAAAACAAAATCACAAAACAAAAACAAGAATTGTGAGTATAGTATGCTATAAATTATGCAAGAAAAAGAGAAATATTTAAATATCTGCTAATACCTTTATACCATATTTCAGAAATATTATGTAAGAAATTGGTCGGTTTATTTATTTTATTTTGCCTCCAGGGAAGAAAACCTGTCACGTAGGTGCATTTTCTATTTGATACTCCCTAAAGTCACAGAAATCATGGGTGAGTGCAAATTCAGAGTGGAAATCATGTGTCTGAAAGTACTATTAAGTACCTGTCTCTTTCAAATCTTGTTAGTAGACGGTTACAAATTAATTACTTAATCTTTCTGTCAAATCAAAATGCATTTGTGCTTATTTAGCTAAAGTGTAAAGTGAAGTGATTATTATAATTTTACTTTTTAAAAAACTTAATTATGTTTCATTAAATTAGCAGGTAATTGAGTACCTAAATGAAACTTTCAAATAAATAGAATAAAAACAGAGGTACAAGGAGAGTTGCAGTACATGGCAAGTTTCATCATGAAAAGTTTTTTATTTGCCTTATTTTCATTTACTCAAAAAAATGCTTATTGAGAGCCTCCTCTGTGCCCAGCTCTAAACTCTGGGAAAATAGGAGCAAGACACTCTCTTTTCTTAGTATGGCCTACTCTAGTAGGGGACACAGATAACAAGTAAACAAGCAGGCCGGGTGCAGTAGCTCATGCCTGAAATCCCAGCACTTTGGGAGGCTAAGGCGGGCAGATCACTTGAGGCCGGGAGTTCCAGACCAGCCTGGCCAACATGGTGAAACCCTATCTCTACTAAACATATGAAAAAATTAGCCAAGCATGGTGGCACACACCTGTGATCCCATCTACCTGGGAGGCTGAGACATGAGATCCCCTAAACCCGGGAGGTGGATTTTTCAGTGAGCCAATATTGTGCCACTGCACTCTAGCCTGAGTGACAGAGTGAGACTCTGTCTCAAAAAAAAAAAAAAAAAGACACAAAGTAAACAAGCAGATGAGCTATTTTTTTTTTTTTTTTTTTTTTTTTTGAGACGGAGTCTCACTCTGTCCCCCTTGCTGGAGTGCAGTGGCCGGATCTCAGCTCACTGCAAGCTCCGCCTCCTGGGTTCAGGCCATTCTCCTGCCTCAGCCTCCCGAGTAGCTGGGACTACAGGCGCCCGCCACCTCGCCCGGGTAGTTTTTTTTGTATTTTTTAGTAGAGACGGGGTTTCACTGTGTTAGCCAGGATGGTCTCGATCTCCTGACCTCGTGATCCACCCGTCTCGGCCTCCCAAAGTGCTGGGATTACAGGCTTGAGCCACCGCGCCCAGCCTGCAGATGAGCTATTTTTAAAGCGATAGTACTAAAAGACAATAACACAGAGCTATGACAATATAGAGTGGCTAAAATGGGAGGGGAGGAAGGATTATTTTTTCCAAGTTAATTTTTGGGGAGAGATACAATTTATTAAACAAGCATGTATATATGCCCCTCTGTGCCTACTCCTGTTGTGGACACTGGGCATAAAGCAACACAGAAGGTTAAATCTTTGTTCTCAAGAAGCTTAAGACATTCCATTGATACAGACTGACAATAAACAAACAAGCAAATTGATATTTAATATGCAGAGTCGTATGCAGAGTCAGATTTACTGTGATACCCCAGCCGGGGCTGGTCATTGCTGAGGGCCATAGAATGTTCTAGGTGGCAAGTGGAAGCCAGGTTGCAACAACTACATAGTTTTACATAAATATTTCTAGTAAATTGCCTAAATAAATCTTAGAAGGAATAACTGAGCTCCAAGACTCTAGCAATTTATGATTTATTTTCACATTCTTAATAAATATTCACTTTCATACTTAATTTTTTAATTGCAATTTTTATATTTTGTTTCTTTAAAAAGTGCCCCCCTCATTATAAAAACTTCAGGCCCCACAAAACTTAGCTGTTCCCATAATAAGATATCAGGTGGTAACAAGTGTTTTTGTTTTTTGTTTTTTGTTTTTTTTTGGGATGGAGTTTTGCTCTGTCCCCAGGCTGGAGTACAGTGGTGTGATCTTCGCTCACTGCAACCTCCACCTCGCGGGGTCAAGTGATTCTCCTGCCTCAGCCTCCCAAGTGGCTGGGACTACAGGCGCTCACCACCATGCCCAGCTAATTTTTGTATTTTTTGTAGAGATGGGGTTTCAACATGTTGGCCATGATGGCCTCGATCTTTTGACCTCGTGATCCACCCACCTCAGCCTCCCAAAGTGTTGGGATTATGGGCGTGAGCCACCATGGCCGGCTGGTAACAAGTTTTATGAAGAAAAATCAGAATGAAGATGATGGAGTAAAATTGTTGTGGGGGAGGTACTATTAATATAAGGTGGTCAGCAATGACCTCTCTAGTAGATGATGTTTGTGCTGAGCCCTGAAGGAAGCAAGCTATAACCTTGGAAACAGTAGGTACAAAGGCCCTGAGGCATGTGTACTATGAAGCCATCTATAGACTTATTACCTAAGAGGATGTTCCCTAGGCTAAATTAATTCTTTTAGAATATATTATGTCTCCAAAATCAAGGATCAGTTATATTAATAAATACATACACTTATTAAACTACCCATTTATAAGAAATACAAAAGGTGAATTTTCGTGAAAACGGTTCATTTTCTTCAGATGAGGCTGGAATTTCGGATTGTACAGAGTCTACAGGCTGACTCCTACATTCACCCTTGGTCTTCTACAGTGATACTCCTGAAATCCTAAAATGATTAAGTTCTGTTTCTGTCAGTTGGCCCTCCTAGCACTCTGCCTCTGAGAACCAGAACAAACCTCTTTGCATTTTCTGCGAGTCCTGCACTGTTTAGAGACTAAGGAGGCCTGAGCAGGAAGAATCTGCCTGTTGATAACTCTTAGCTCTGTTTTTAGAATAAACACACCCGTTTAATGAAAACAGTGTGTACACTGAGTGTTATTTTAAGGGAAACAGCACAGAAAGGAGAGATGGGAGAAAACCAAAAGAGATCAAAAGGTTATTAAACAACCTGGAATCAATAATATACTTTTTTTAAAAAGTTTCAGCCAGAGTATCCTGTTTCTTTGCTGTCCACCTTCTATTTAAAACATGGTCATGACAGAAAAGCATGATGGATTTAACTAGACTACAAGCGTACTGAGGCAGAGGGCAGAGCCTAAGTTTTATTTACTTTTGCATCTTCGGGCGAAGCACATGGTAAGCACACCATACATATTTGTGCAATTAGGAATTAATGTTAATCTATGTGATAGCAACCATAATTATTCTACACCATCTGGTGATAACGTGGGTTTCATTTTATATATGGATTTCTCGTTGTTTTTCCAAGGCCTGCCCACAGAAAAACACAAGAAGATGAGGTGAAAAATTCCTAGGCCCTGCCATGCAGCCACAGAAAATGGGAACCTGCCTGACTGTGGACATCAGATGAATTTCAAGGCCCAGAACCTGGATAGCATGGTTCACTGAGTCTGAGAATGATCACCTTATATGATAGTATAAGTTGTTTCCGAGCTGATATAACTGGGAATATAGAAGGCGGGGAGCCTGTCATTCTCTGCCTCTTTGACCTGGTAGATACCTCACTGTGCAGAATTGACAAGAATGCAAACTTTGTGTGTATTCTGGGACATACAAGGGAGGCAATGGGAAGCCATATTTATTCTCCTGCGTCTCTATCTTGTTTATATTCTTTGCTCTGCTTCTTAGTTCATTCAAAACTAAACCAAAGTAAAATCAACTTGAATGAAATCCAAGTCTTTATTCTCGCCATTCCCCAAACTCAGGCCAGATTCCATGGTCTGATTTTCAGCTTACATTGTATTGTCTAGCTCTGTTTTTACAGTGAACACATACATTTAATAAAAGGTGACAATTTAAGCTACCCTCTTTTTTTTTTTTTTTTTTTTGAGATGGAGTCTTGCTCTGTCACCCAGGCTGGAATGCAGTGGTGCAATCTCTGCTCAGTGAAGCCTCCGCCTCCAGGATTCAAGAGATTCTCCTGCCTCAGCCTCCTGAGTAGTTGGGACTACAGGCACATGCCACCACAGATGGCTAATTTTTTGTATTTTTAGTAGAATAGAGGGTTTTACCATGTTTGTTAGGCTGGTCTCGAACTCCTGACCTCAGGTGATCCACCCACCTGGGCCTTCTAAAGTGCTGGGATTACAGGTGCGTGTCACCGTGCCCAGCCTTAAACCATCATCCTTTAAAAAACCCTATTGTTAAAAAGATCCTCAGTTCCAGCTGGGCGCGGTGGCTCACACCTGCAATCCCAGCACTTTGGGAGGCCGAGGCAGGCAGATCACTTGGGGTCAGGAGTTCAAGACCAGCCTGGTCTGAAATAAAATACAAAAATTAGCCGGGTGTGGTGGCAGGCACCTGTAATCCCAGCTACTCAGGAGGCTGAGGCAGTAGAATTGCTTGAACCTGAGAGGCGGAGGCTGCAGAGAGCTGAGATTGTGCCACTGCACTCCAGGCTGGGTGACAGAGACTCCATATCAAAAACAAACAAACCAACAAACAAACAAAGATCCTCAGTTCCCTTTGGGATGCCATCAACAAGGAGGAAGGAGAGAGGATACTTGAGCTCAGGAGTTCAAGACCAGCCTGGCCAACATAGCAAGATCTCGTCTCTATTTTTAAAAATAAATAAACCTCAGTTGTCCTTAGATACCCTTCCAGGAACATCTCGTTTCTTTGCTCCCCTTTATAGAAAAACTTCTTGAAAGAATTGTTAATCCCACACTGTTCCACCTACTCCAGGGCTTCCACCCTCATCACATCACTGAAACTACTGTTATCAAGTCATCTGTGACTTACATGTTGCCAAATTCAGTAGATAACTTCCTTTTCCTCATTTTGCCTGAGTCTTGTGCAAACTGATCTGACCCACTTTGACCCTTCTCAATTATTAGCTTCTTTTTGTAGGTGTCAGTAGCCTCCAGCATATGCAGGGAAATGAGGGCTATGGGTCTCTCTTGATTCTGAGCTGGGTACTTTATGAAGAACATTTTAGCAAACTACTAATTAGCCTCCCTTACAAACATAAAATCTTGAATTTTTCATTCTTCCAATTTATGTCTCCCCCAAAAAACATTGATTCCACTGATTCATTCTGAGGTTCTGGCTACTGCTACCCCAAATTCCCGAATTAGCGCCCTATTTCCAGTGTCACCATACTTCACCATATACTTCTCCACTGCAAGTGGAGAGGTACTACTAAAACCTTTGATTTTTCTGCCTTGCTGACTCTTCTAAAAATGTTTGGTTTTCAAGAAGAGTTATCACTTAGGATCTGTCATCTATAAATGATTATTCATTTTGATGATTTCTCAAGAATGAATGAATGGTTACAATGGTGCCTGATTGTCTGCTGCCTACTCCACTGACTGAGACCCATCACTGTCTGAGAGAACTGAGCAGTTGAGTAGGGTCAGGGCTCTATTACCTTCTTAGATGGTGCTATTTAGTGCCATGCTTAGCACTGCTGGACTTGCAGCCAAACTAATTGGTTACTCCTGAAGAATATTAAGAAACCAACTCATTATTCTAAAAATTAGTGAAGGGAAAAAATCAAGCATTTATGTTCTTTTTCTTGTATGTACATCAAGGAAACCAAATTGTGAATATGGTACTTTTTTTTTTTTTTTTTTGAGACGGAGTCTTGCTCTGTCGCCCAGGCTGGAGTGCAGTGGCCTGATCTCAGCTCACTGCAAGCTCCGCCTCCCGGGTCTACGCCATTCTCCTGCCTCAGCCTCCCGAGTAGCTGGGACTACAGGCGCCCGCCACCTCGTCCGGCTAGTTTTTTTTGTATTTTTTTGGTAGAGATGGGGTTTCGCCGTGTTAGCCAGGCTGGTCTCGATCTCCTGACCTCGTGATCTGCCCATCTCGGCCTCCCAAAGTGCTGGGATTACAGGCTTGAGCCACCACGCCCGGCCTTTTTTTTTTTTTTTTTTTTAATGAGAGAGGGTCTTGCTTTCTCACCAAGGCTGGAGTGAAATGTGTGATGGCCCATTCACACACACTGCCTGGGCTCTGCCTGGGCTCCATGGATCCTCCCACTTCAGCCTCCCAGGTAGCTGGAACTACAGATGCTTGCCACCATGCTCAGCTTTTTTTCTTTTTTCTTTTTTTTTTTTTTTTTTTTTTGTATTTTTTTGTAGAGATGGGGGTTTCACCATGTTGCCCAGGCTGGTCTTGAACTCCTGCAGTCAAGTAATCCACCCGTCTTGGCCTTCCAAAGTGCTAGGATTACAGGTACGAGCCACTGCACCCAGCCAATTTTTTTTTTTTTTTTTTTTTTTTGAGACAGGGTCTCGCTCTGTCTCCCAGGCTAGAGTGCAGTGGTGCAATCTTGGCTCACTGCAACTTCTGACTCCCGGGTCAAGTGATTCTCCTACCTCAGCCTCCTGAGTAGCTGGGATTACAGGTGCCCACCACCATGCCTGGCTGATTTTTGTCTTTTTTAGTAGAAACAGGGTTTCACCATTTTGGTCAGGCTGGTCTCGAACTCCTGATCTCATGATCTGCCCACCTCTGCCTCCAAAAGTGCTGGGATTACAGGTATGAGCCACAGCGCCTGGCCCCAATTTTTTTTTTTTTTTAAATAGAAGAATTCCAGTGAGTGAATGCAGAAGAAATGACAGACTATTAACTATTTTGACACTTGAATGAAATAATGGATCTAGGCAATGATTATTGATAGCTGCTGAAATCATTAGGTGAGAGGCTGATGAGGAACTTTATAATGATGGATCAGGCTGACAACACTTGAACCCACCGATTAATTGTAATATTCCAAAAAGAGAGGCAAACAGACATTATATACTTACAGGTGTGATGCAATAAGAACACAGCATCGCCTATGAAGTACTCTTCCAAAAATATCTAGCCTAAATCTTATCAAGCCTCTAGACCTAATTTTCAGCTTATGTGAAATACAGAAGATGGAGAAATGTGTTAAATAACACCTCAGGATATGATTAATCAAATCTAGAATGTAACAAATTCTCTAGGGAAAATGACTTGATTTCATCAACAAATAAATGGCAAGAAAAACAGAAGAAACTCTAGGTTGAAAGAAATTTAAGAGCCATTGCTATTCACAAGACAACATGTGAATAGCATTTGGAACCTGATTTGAATAATGCAACTTAAAAAATGTTTATAAAACAATAAAAAATTTAAATACTGACTGGATATTTGATGACATTGAATAATTTTGTTAATTTGTTGGGTATGATCATGGTAAATATGGTTATATATATATGTGTGTGTGTGTGTGTGTGTATATATATATATATATATTTTTTTTTTTTCTTTTGAGATGGAGTCTTGCTCTGTCACCCGGGCTGGAGTGCAGTGGCACGATCTCTGCTCACTGCAAGCTCTGCCTCCCGAGTTCATGCCATTCTCCTGCCTCAGCCTCCCGAGTAGCTGGGACTACAGGAACCCGCCACCACGCCCGTCTAATTTTTTGTATTTTTAGTAGAGACGGGGTTTCATTGTGGTAGCCAGGATGGTCTTGATTTCCTGACCTCGTGATCCGCCTGCCTCGGCCTCCTAAAATGCTGGGATTACAGACGTGAGCCACTGCGCCTTTCATATGGTTATATATTTTTAAAAAGAGTTCTTATTCTTAAAGGTACATAGATAAGACTTTGTAGATTAAATTAAGATGTCTGTCATTTGCTCTAAAATAGTCTTGTAAGGGCTTTGGGAAAGTGGGTTGGCATGTAGATAAAATAAGACTGAACATGTGCTGATGCATGTGGAAGGTGGATGATGGCTATTTAAAGGGTTATTATACTATTTATATTACACTTTTTACTTTGGAAGTATGCTTGAAAATTTCTATAATAAAAAGAAAACAAAGAAGCAAGCAAAAAAAACAAAAAACAAAAAACAAAAAACCAGCCAAAAAAACAGACCAAAAAAAAAAAAAAATCCGAACTCGAAACCAAAAAGCTTGCAACCCTCTGAGCTCTCCCCTTAAGAATTATTTTCAGGCCAGGCACAGTGGCTCACGCCTATAATCCCAGCACTTTGGGAGGCTGAGGTGGTGGACCACCTGAGGCCGGGAGTTTGAGACCAGCCTGACCAACAAGGAGAAACCTCTCTACTAAAAATACAAAAAAATTAGCTGGGCGTGGTGGTGCATGCCTGTAATCCCAGCTACTCAGGAGGCTGAGGCAGGAGAATCGCTTGAACCCAGGAGGTGGAGGTTGTGGTGAGCCAAGATCGCGCCATTGCACTCCAGCTTGGGCAACAAGAGCGAAACTCCATTTCATAAAAAAAGAAAAAAGAATTCTTTCCAAATTCTGTGAATGGTTGATTAGTAATATCTTTACAATACTTCATCTGATTTTTTCTTTTGGGACCCCTGATTCTCTCAAAATTCCTCATGGATTTTTCAAGTTAATGTATTGCTTCATTTCTGTTTTGAGTGATGAGGGTAGAATTATTTTCTCTGGGATTTTCCTACTATTTGCTGTCAGTAATGTTTCCCAATGTATGGATTAAGGCTGTCCTCCCAGTAGGAGGTGCTGCCTTAAAGTATGGTGGCAGCTTAGCCTTTAGAGTAAGTGCCAAAGGCCTTCCAGTGCTGCTCCAGTCTCCACACTGCTTTCCTGGGACCTCTGCGTCATAGTGAATTTCTTAGAATAGATTTGCTTCTGGAATAATTTTCCACCAATTTACTGCCAAAATTGTGTGGGCCAGATTTCCTCCAGACTACAATTTACCCATCTCAGCTGGTTTTGCTTTTTCCCCCTTCTTTCCTTAACGAGGTTTGCAGATTCTTTTAAATATTCCTGGTTTGACATGGTGGCTCACACTTGTAATCCCAGCACTTTGGGAGGCCGAGGCAGGAGGATT